AATTCGTGTTAGAAGGGCACTGGTTTTCCGGATCGGTGGCTGATGGCGACCATTCTTGTTTCTCTGGTCGCGGCGATTGCCAACATAGTCAACCTTGTGCTGTAGAGATCAACCCCGGATTACCCAGCGGACTACCCGTCAAGTTGCCGCGTCACAGATCTTGATGCGGATACGGTAAAAATTAACCGTCCACCCTTCTACCTCCAAAGTCTTCAACATAGCCACTCTGTACTCCAGCATTGGAATTTTATGTACGACCGCAAATAGCTCTTTGCCGGCTGGAGTGAACAAGATTCCCTTAATCCGGGGGAGCACATTGGTATCTTCGGACCTACGGAGAATCCAACTTAATTCTTGATGTCGGGCCTGAACTAGTGGATGACTCGGATTTACGGGTACGTCAATGTACGAACTCATGTCATTTACTATGAGCCTATGGTGAGCCAGTCGCATTAGAATATCGTACGATAAACCATAAGGCCGCAACGAATTGGCGCCGGGGTTCCCGCAACCCACGACGATCGCTGGGGTTTCGTCCAATTCGCAGAGCGCCGCCGAGCATAGAGTTTGGCAATCCTCACTAGGCGCGTCCTTGGTCATAGTCGTTCTCTGGCTATTCTGACATTGTGGTCTTTTTGGTCACGAACGCTGCCCGGCGACTCCAATTCACCGGCCAAGAGCCGAGCCCAGAGGTCTTGCAAGGTCTCATCCGACACGTTGCTAGCCTCCGAAATCCACCTGCGCCGAAACTCAGGATTGAACTGGTCTAGATCCACCTTCTTCCAGTCCACTACGGAATCCGCTTTCAACATCGCATTTACGGTGTTCGTGATTAGCCGCTCGATCTCCTCATCGTGTGCATTGGAAAATTCCTCATACTCCATGGCAAGGCCGCGGTAACGAAAGTTATTTCGTCCCGCTCGCAACATTCCTTCGACAAAGGCACGATCAGCTTCCAAGTTCTTCCGGTCCTGCCCTCCCCTTACCCACATACCTAGGGGGGTGAAAAAACCCGGAGCCATAGCACGGGCCATATCAGGCGCTACAGCTGAAAGGTCTGATCCGTCCAACCCTAATACTCTATACTCCCTCTAACCATCCCTACCACGTTGGTCTACAAAATCTTAGTGCTATTATATCTAGTCCTATGTGCGGGGTAGATCGCCAAGGCGCTTTCGGAGCCACTGCCTGTCATTTCCGCTCCTCCTTGGAGTTCCAGAACCCCCAATTCCCACTGACACCTGCCCCTTGCCAATGCTCCAAATGTTCGGTTATTATGGATTTACGAACAATCATTCTATATTGGTAAAACGGTGAAGCATCATCCCAAATCCGAACCCACAACTCCAACAAGACCAATGCACACCCTTCGCAGTCAACCACCCAGGAAACTCCAACGCCGGATTTGTCCTGATTTGTCATCAAAACCGAAAATCGCCAGCCAGCAAAGCATCGGCACCAACGACAGGAAATGACCGGAAATGGCAGAGATGTTGAAAATTCCGCGGCAACTGAGACGCCAATCGCGCCATTGGCCGCGCCGCCTCGCAACCTGCCCGGTAACCCCGAAATTCGTCCAGAATGAGCGGAAATGAACGGAATGAGCGGAATAACAAAATTTCCCCCAGCCGTCCCACCCCTTTACTGCAGGCTCCTCTCATCCTCAGACCGCCCCGCATCCCTGCCCAGTTGGCCCACATGCCCACTTTTGAATGGGGGTGGTCGGTACGCGGCGGTGGCTAACCCTGCAACAAGAAACGGTTCGCCGCACTCGCCGCAGTTGCAACCCCGACGCCCCCTGCCTAGAATGCCATCATCCCTCCCGGACTGCTGGGCGGTCCGCAACGGCTCGAGGGACGCACAGCCCTTGGTCTCCCGAGTAATGCCGCCCGGCCTGGTCTACCACCCGGCTGACATAACTGCCTACGACGTCACCGTCAGCGGCTACAACGGCGACCCAGTCCCGGCCTACGTCGCCCGACCCGCCGAGGGTGGGACGCATCCCGGCCTGCTGCTCGTGCACGGCATCCACGGCTACGAGGAGCACATGAAGGACATGGCCCGCCGCTACGCCGCGCTGGGCTATGCCGCCATCGTCCCTGCCCTCTACAGCCGCGACGGGTTCCTGACCGTCGTGGAGCATTCCGACCTAGACCTGGCCCGCGACGCCCTGAACTCCCGCCCCAACGCCCAGACCGTCGGCGACCTGCAGGGCGGCCTCGATTTCCTGAGGGCCAGCCTCCACGTCAACGAGCGCATCGGCCTCGTCGGATTCTGCTCCGGCGGACGCCTCGGCCTCGTCTTCGCCAGCAGCCGTGCCTCTGGCGCTGGACAGGTCGACGTGTTCGTCAACTTCTACTCCAACGGCCTGTTCCAGCCCACTGCGGTCAACACCACGTCGCCCAGCGAGTTCGCCGCCAGCCTCGGCTGCCCCATGCTGGCCCTGTTCGGCGACGACGACACCAACCCGTCGCCCGACGACGTGGCCCGCCTGCGCGAGGTGCTGGAACGATCGGGCAAGACCTTCGAGTTCGTCAGCTACCCGCGCGCCGGACACGCCTTCATGTCCGATACCCGCGAGAGCTACCGCCCCGAGGCCGCTCAGATGGCCTGGGGCCGCTGCCTTGAATGGCTATCCCGTTACCTGAAACCCTGAGCAAGTCTGAACCCGGGGAGATCACCAAATGAAGAACGGCTACCGCGTCATCGACATCGACACCCACGTGAACCCCAGCCTCGACACACTCGTCAAAGTACGTCGACCCCAGCTTCCGGCCCCGGCTGGACGAGCTCAAGCCCTACATCCGCACCGTCGGCGAATACAACGCCCTCAGCATCGCCTCCATCCCCTTCGATCGTTTCCCCGGCGAGGCCCCCAGCGGGGACGACCAGGCTGCCGTCGCCGGCGGGCGCGGTGCATTGGAGGGCCGCGTCACCCGGAACTCAGGACACCACCGCGTCGACCCCCAGAAGGGCGTCAGCGACGAGAACGCCGCCGGCCGCCTCACCGACATGGACCTCGAGGGCCGCGACATCGACGTCATCATCCCCGGCACTTGGGCTAACGGCCTGACCGGCATCGAGGACGTCAGCCTGGCAGATGGCCTCTACTCCGCCTACCACCGCTACATGCGTGAGTACTGCAGCGCCGACCCCGAGCGCCTGCGCAGCATCGTCCTCGCCCCCGCCGCCGACATCGAGTGGTCCGTCGCTGAAATCAAGGCCGTGTCCAAGGAGAAATGGCCGGTCGCCGTGGCGATCATTCTGCCCGAGGGCATGCCCATCGACCACCCGGCCGTCGACCCGCTGTTCGAAGTGCTGAACGAGGAGCACCTGCCCATCCTGCACCACAGTGCTTGTATCACCTCGAAACCGCCATTCCCCTCTCCCGGCTACCGCGACATGTGGGGCAACATCGCCGTCGCTCGCACCGCCGCCCACCCGTGGGGCGCCGCCCGGCTGCTTTCCTACCTGATCGTCGGGAAGGTATTCGACCGATTCCCCAACCTGAACGCCGGCGCCGCAGAGGTCGGACACGGCTGGCTGCCCCACTGGCTGATCCGCCTCGAGGAGATGTGCAACTACGTCTCCGGGACCACTCCCAAGACCGACTACAAGCCCATCGAGTACGCCCAGATGGGACGCTTCCGCTGCGGCGCCGAGCCCTTCGAGGGAGCCGCCATGACCAAGGCCTGCATCGACCTGCTGGGCACCGAGGCCCTGATGCACCAGTCGGACTACCCTCACGGCGAGGCCCATTTCCCCGACACCGCTGAGATGGTCATAAACTGGCCCTTCTGGCAGGACTTCGGAGACGAAGCCCTGGTCAAGCACATGTCCGGCAACGCCGAGGCCCTCCAAGGTCCAGCCCACTCTAGACAGGCCCAGAGCTCTCCGCAGCGGTCGCGCGAGCGTCCACTCGGCCATGCCCTCCCCTTCGGTAGACCTGGGGTAGAGCGTGATTCACCCTCCCCTCGGATAAGGTTGGGAGGGCGTACCCCCAACCAACACGAAAGGGGCAGGTCATACGACCTGCCCCTGACTGGCTGTATCGATAGATCGTTAACTACGCGCAGGCGTCCCGCACCGCCTGCGACACCTCGGCCAGCCGGGCGTTGTTCTTGTCGGCGCCCCGGAAGCCGTTGGTGATGTATCCCACGGCCAGCCCGGTGTCCAGGTCGGCCCAACCGATCGAAGTGCCGCCCCGCCGTGCCCGAAGGTGTGCATCGGGTCGCCCGTGGGCTTGCCCATCCGCTCGTCGTTCAAAGCGAAGCCCAGCGCGCGCTGCGCGAACTGCTCCAGCGACCGGTCGATGCCCTCGGCCTGCATCGTGATGCCCTCGCGACGGTCTCGGGCCGCAGCACCTTGGCCCCGTCCAGCGTACCCTTGCGCTCCATGGCCGCGTAGAACCGGGCCAGGTCGCCGAGGCGATGCCGTTGGCGCCCGGACAAATGACCTGATGCACCTCAGGACGGTCGAAGGTGACCGCGTAGCCGTTGGCGTCGGCCTCCTGCTCCATCAGGTGGATCCGGGACACTCGACCCTCCAGCTCAGCGGGCAGGCCGACGTAGGTGTCCTCCATCTGCAGCGGCCGCGCCAGGTCCTCGGCGATGAACCGGTCGAAGGTCGGGCCGTCAATGCGCCGCACCAACTCGGCAATCACCCAACCGTAGTTGATCGGGTGATAGGACAGAGTCGAGCCCGGCGTGAACTTGGGCGTGGCCCGCTCCAGGGCGGCGCAGACCAGACTCCAGTCGTGCCAGTCGGTCCAGGGCAGGTCGGCGGCGTCTCCGGGAAGCCGCCCTGATGGCTCAGCAGGTGCCGGATGGTAACGGTCTCCTTGCCGTTCTGCCCGAACTCCGGCCAGAC